ATAATTTTTAGTAAATTTAAGTTTAAAACGATTTGAAGCATTTCTTCTCTTGACTTAATTATGAGTAAAAATGTTCAAAAATATAGTATAATTTGTATTTCGTAAAAATTCAGTCTCTTTAATAGAGCTTATGAACCAAATGTAAACATGTTTCTTTTTACAACCAAAATTTAACATAAAAGGTTGCCCCAAAAATTTTTTGCCTAATATAGAATGTAGCTACCTCATCTTGTAGGTACGCCACGGCCTTGATATAAAACTTGATAGGTATAATCTTTAAAACATCATAAAAACTAAGCGTTAAAGGATGTAGCGGCTTAGAGTATCAAATAATTCGGTGTATTAAAATTTTTTTTCTTTAAATTGTTTAATTTTAATAAAAACTTTGATTTTGTAACTTAAAAACTTAAATATATAATTTAAAAGTTTAAACTCTTTACCCGTGGACAAAAACATGAGATTTGAAGGTAAAAATTACATTAATATAATTCTTGTTCCGGCCGTAACAAGAATTATATTTATGTGATTTTTTACCTTCATGATTGGAACTCGGAACATTTTATTAAAAATTCCAGCAAATCCGGCTCCGGCTGGAATTTGAAATATCCATTTCGGTACACTCCTAATATATATATATATATATATATATATATATATATATATATATATATATATATATATATATATATATATATATATATATATATATATATATATATATATATATATATATATATATATATATATATATATATATATATATATAATATATATATATATATATATATATTTACTATCATTAATTCACGGCTATGTTCATTTATTCACTGTTCCCCAGTACTGGGCCACAGTGAATCACGTGTATATATATATATATATATATATATATATATATATATATATATATATATATATATATATATATATATATATATATATATATATATATATATATATATGCATAAATGTATGTATGTATGTATATCTTTATCTATCTATATGGTATTTAATGAGATTTTAATAAATCAATAAAAAATGTATATTTTGCATATGCAACTTGTTACATTTTATTACAAAATTCAGACGTTCTTGCATGTAAACAATTTTTTTATCTCAAAAAAATGCGAAAGAAATTTTCCATATCATCTTTACGATACAATTAATAGTTAGTGCAGTTTATATTTAGGTCCCTGCTTTTGATAAACGCTGTTCTTGTATGTGACGAAACAATAAAAATCATTAAAATATTCATCAAGATAAAAACATTAGAATAATAAAATATAATAATAAAATGCGTATATTTAAACTTTTCAGTTTTACAAACTCATTTTTTCAAGTTCTGCTCAGAATATTTTAATGCAAAGCTCTTTAGTAAAAGTACTGGCATATAAAACAAAATATATGAAATCAATAAAATAATAAACCCTGGGTGGAAGTTTTTATAGCTGTTTTTTTTTAATGTCTCAGCGTTGAGTCTATCTTAAGGCGTCGGATATAGATTTTTAACTTATTAATGGCTCGATGATTTTTTTGGTTACTGCATATTTAAGGAATTGCTTTTTTATTAAATATTGTTTTAAATTTAAGATTTTGTTGTGCTAATTATTCTACTCAACGTTAGTCTTTGTTATGCAAAAATTGAGAATAAAACTTATTTTTGTAAAGTATTTATTTAAATGTTCTGTTAATAATGTTTGTAATAGCTGCTTTTTTTTTTTTTTTTTTTTTTTTTTGCATTTTATTTATTTCTTCTTTGACAAAGTTTGGTATTTAACTTTTTTTTTTTATAGAAATCTTTTAGCTTAGGGTGGGGGGAGGGGGGGGAGGCAACGTGACGTCTTAAAAAATTTTAAAGCACCTTACTAGAATATCTTACATGTTTAACATCTTTTTTTATTTACAGGAAAATAGATATTAAGCTAAAAAAAAAAAATACCTTCAAAAAACACAATAAAATATTTTCTTCGAAAAATCAGACTTAAACCCTGAGACAAGATGCCCTAAGTATTTCGCCCAATAAAACTAATAAAAATTTTCTCACTCAATTTATTTTCTTACTTGCCACTCAATTTACTTTCTTACTTACAACATATTTTCTTACTTGCAACATATTTTCTTACTTGCAACATATTTTCTTACTTGCAACATATTTTCTTACTTGCAACATATTTTCTTACTTGCAACATATTTTCTTACTTGCAACATATTTTCTTACTTGCAACATATTTTCTTACTTGCAACATATTTTCTTACTTGCAACATATTTTCTTACTTGCAACATATTTTCTTACTTGCAACATATTATCTAACTTGCAACATATTTTCTTACTTGCAACATATTTTTTTACTTACAACTTATTTTCTTACTTGCAACGCAACTTACTTTTCACACAATCAAACTAACTACTGAATACTCTTTTTAAAAAAATTAACTTTTAACTATTTGCACTTCAAAACATTTTTATATGGCTTTTTAATCCACAAAAACTTTGAATTGCTTTTACTTATAGAATATAAAACAGTACCATACAAAACTATTTCTATAAACACTTTTTTCTCGATTTATATTAATCTGCTTACAAACGAACATTTTTACTTTAATAACAAAATTATTGATAAATTGAGGTATTTTTTGCAATGCCTAGTAATCGAGGTATTTTTTTGCAACGCCTTGTAATTTATAATAATTAATAACAAAACTCTCGAAAAGTTTTCAATCAATTTAAGCATTTAAATCAGTTTTTTTAATAATGTTAAATATATATACTAATTTTTAAAGTGAAAAAATTTTTATTAAACATTCATTTAGTGCTGTTATCTAAATTCATTTAGTACTGTTATTTTATTAATTCTTATGCATTCAGTGAAATGCAGGGCCGCCCCGAAGGGGAGGGAGGTGTCGGGGGTGTCTCTATCCCCCCCGCCCAAAGCTGTCATATAAGCATTTGAGTTGGCACATTCAGCTAGTTTTAAACTATAGTAATTGCAAATATTGAGGACTTTTTTTTTTTTTTTGTGTCTTTAGTTGGCAAAAAAATGCATACACCACCCCCTCTCCCACCCCCATGGAAGACCTCTTCGAGACGGCCCTGGTGAAATGTTGTTTATTGTATGTGTGTGTCAAATGCTGTTTATTGTATGTGTGTGTCACGGTATTTCAGTCATTTTAAATATGGTTGAGCTCTTGTAATTCGAACTCCTATAATTCGAAAAATCATTTAGCTCAAACAAATTCTTCTGTCCCTTAAGAGTTTAATGTTTAGGATTAAACTCCCATAACTCGAAAACATTTGTAATAAGAATATATTTTGAGATCTCTTGAGGATTTGAATTATATGAGTATGCTATGTATATATTCAATACTTTATATATTATGACGGAAATCATAGTTTATATACAGTTTACTTACTACCATACCTTTAGTTACATCTGTAGGTTTAGTAATGTCAATTTTATTTACGGCTACAACTCACCCTCGATATTTGGACAAAAATGTCTTTTATTTGGACATTTTGTTACCATTTAAGGTTAACACAAATCATTGTCATTTAAAGTTGCCAGATAAACAATATTGGGAAGAGCATTTAACTAGGAGGCTTCCTAGGTAAATGCTCGTCCGCGGTCAAACAATCTAAGATTAATAAATTAAAGACTTATTGGAGCATTTTAATAGCCGCACACACATACACATATACACACACAAACACACACACACGCAAAAATTATTAGGAGTTGTACGGATTTATCCAAACTTAAGTATAAAAACTGTTTAAAAACGTTTTAATAAAATTTATTAAATTTACATAAATTAAAATGCTATAAAAGATTTTATTTGATTTTACTATGAACTAAACAATCTGTTATAAATTATAAAGCAGTTTCAAACTAATTGATTTTTGATACCACTGAAATAATTTATTTTTTAAATTCTCATGCGGTGCTTTTAAATTTAACAAATTACCCTAAACTCAGTGCGTTCTATTTTAAATAGTCAAACGTTTATATTATATATATATATATATATATATATATATATATATATATATATATATATATATATATATATATATATATATATATATATATATATATATATATATATATATATATATATATATATATATATATATATATATATATATATATATATATATATATATATATATATATATATATATATATATATATATATATATATATATATATATATATATATATATATATATTGAATGTTTATGTATTAAAATATATATAAATAATACGCGATAAGTTAAAAAAATTTTTTTTGTCAAATTTATGAAACGTTCTTTGAGGTTTAGTATGAACATAAGGTTAATTGGATGTTTTGTACATGCACGTGCAATACCGTCACGTTTTACTATTGGAGTCGGAGTCGCAATTTTATTCAGCGACTCCGACTCCGCTAAAAATGTCGCAACTCCGACTCCACAGCCCTGATATAAATTATTACATATGTTATATAACATATAATTTAGATGACTTTTTAAGAAATCAGGCTCTAAAATAAAAAATCAAGTTAAAAAATCAATAAAAAAAGGATATACTAAATAAATTTGAAAAAGCAATATGATACACTTATCTTGTAACATATAAAGTATAGTTTTGATATAAGTTTAAGCTCGTGAATTTTTATTGATTTATTTTAAAAAGCCTTTTTTTCTTAAACAATAAATTTAAAAGAGCTATTACTTTTTTTGTTGTTGTTGCTTTCCCTACAGTTTTAAACTTTAAAAAATTTTATTGCAGGGCTGTTAAAAAGTTTTTAGATGTCGCGTATGTCAACAAGCAAAATATTTATAAAATATGTTGTTTATTAAAAAGAAAAACAATGTTTACTCTTCTTGCGTCAATTTTACGTTGATTGGCTGTTTTTCGTGTTAACTATAAAAACACATTTTTACGATCCATTCTTCAAAAAATTATTGAGAACAGTTTTAGGTTTTAAGTAATTAATAATTAATTTTTAATTTGTATTTCTTTTTTGTTTTAAAACTGTTCTATAAATAAAATATATTTTTACACTTATACATATCTGCAGAATGAAAACAAACATTAAAAAGTGTGGACAAATATAAAATACTGTTATCGATTTAATATTGTATAAAAAAACCCACTTTTCGAATGTCAAAGAGGTTAATACAAAAAAATATGTCATTTACAGTATGGTTATAGTGATGTGGTTTGCACAGAAATTTGCAAGAAAAGGTAGAATTTTTAAAAGTCCCATTATTTTTAACTTTTTTTACCTCACAATAAAGGAAAAAAAGTGCCTCTGTTTGAATAATGTCTTAACATGTGTCCCGAAGTGTTAAGCACATTATACTTTTTCATTTTTTTCTTTCATGCTAAATTTTTTTAAAGTACCCAAAATATTTTTTTAGGGTACCCAAAATCCCGACATCAATATAGCGCTACAATTAAAAAGTTAGAGTTGGATCGTGGTCCTTTTCAACCGTCAATAAAGATACTTATTATTCGTGGCATTGTTATAATATCATACCTACTGCTCGGAGCATTAGTTTTTCAAGCGCTTGAAAAGAATGACAACCAAACAAGATACTGGAACGATTTAGTGATAGCAAGTAAAGACAATCTTGTAAAAAATCATAATATTTCTCTAAAAACACTGGAGGTACTTGAACATCAAATTCAACAAATGATTGTAGAGAAAAGAAACTCGCAGCGCGAATGGGATTATTATCAATCACTTTATTTTGCCTCAACAGTCACAACAACAATCGGTAAAAATAATAATACTATTATATTTTTTTGAAATATATAATAACTTAGAAAGTATTATTAAAATACCTTTTCTTTGTTTAGGTTACGGGCATATTACTCCTCAAACACAAGAAGGGAGAGTCTTTTTAATTTTATTTGCTCTTATTGGCATACCACTAAATATCTTAGCATTGGCATCAGTTGGCGAACATATAACTGTTTCTATATATACTTTTTTACGTTATTGCAATAATAGATTTACAAAAAAAAAAAAACTTAAAAATATAAACATAAAAGTCATGCTTGTATCCATTGCTCTAATGGTTTGCATGTTATTTCTTGGCGGTTTCTTGTACTGGAGCACCGAAAGTTGGACTTATATTGACAGTATATATTATTGCTTTATAGCTATGTCAACAATAGGTTTTGGGGACCTAGTACCAAACCGTGGAAAAGCACCAGATTCAAAAGAAGAAAAAGCTATTTGGTTTTTAAGAGCACTATATTTATCAGTGGGCTTAAGTCTAGTTTCAACAGTGTTTACAGCGCTCTCAAACGCAATGGAAGAAATAAACAGCATTCTTTCAAGTTCGAAATTTGGTAACAACATCTTTATACTTCTTTTTATTTCATAATTTTTATAATCAACAGCTTATTTTTTTTAATTATATTTAATCGTAAACTGTAACTGATTGTAAATTGTAAACTGTTGTAATTATTTATCATTACGTCACTAATTTCAGAAAACTGTTATGGCTATTTATCAATTGATCACAACAAAACGACAAAAATTTTAAAACTTTCTGCAAAATGAATAGTTCTATTTAAGAATAGGGGCCATCCATAAAGGACGTCACTATTTTTGAGCCAAATTTTTACCCTCTCCCCCTCCCTTTGTCACCGGTTGTCTTTTTTCCCTATACCCCCTTAAAAAAGGGCGTCATAAAATCCTGACTCCCCTCCCTACTTTTAACTCCAAAAAAATTTATTTCATCTTGCAATGATGTTTGAATCTCCTGCTACACCTTTGAAAAATAAAATTAAAAATATTCTCTTACATTATCTTCTCAAAAACACATATTTACGTAGTTTTTCATGTTAATTAAACTAAAATAAAAAATCTATAAAGTGACGTTCTTTTCTGACAGCTTTCCCCTCTCCCCTTGTCCTTTTTTGTCCTTTTTAACTCGATTCCTCTCCCCCCCCCTATTTGGATGACGTCCTTTATGGATGGCCCCATAAAGAAAACAAAAATAGCTAATACATTTTTTTTATCCTCCTCTTCCTGGAAACAAATCCAATTAGGAATCAATGGCTTCTAATCCGCATTTATGCTTTACAATATTTTGAATAAAAATTTTTGCTGTTAATTACGCGCTAACATTTTAAAATTTAACTTTTTATTATCATCTTCTTCTAGCAAATTCGTTAAACCTTAACATGCTTTGCTGCCACCACCAAGACACAACATACTTTAGAAGCAGTTTTCAAAGAAGATTAAGACAAGAAGCGAAAACATTTGAAAAAATTAGTCGGTCAACAAATACTGATGGCGAGAGCGGTAAGTCATTGTTTCTTGAATTTTGAAAAAAGATTTTGTCGTTTGTGAAAACTTTACCGCAATTTTAAGAATGCATTCTTTTTAGTTAATTGGGACGAGCTTCTTGAAAAACGAACCAGAAAAGAAAGTTTTACAAAGCCTTTAAGTCAAAGAAAAAATTTAAGCAATGGTTTTCATGATAGTAGAATACTAAACCAGAATACTGAAGTAAGCAGCATGCCTAAAAGAAATGACATTCTAATAAACTATAAGAGCGAATCTCTTAAAATACCTCAACATTCGTTAAATAGAAAACAACCAAACTATAGACATAAAACTTTGTTTCCGAACCAATCAAACCCTTTCGATAATGTTCGGTCAAAAAATTCTCTAAAGAATTACAGTAGTTCTCCTATTTTTAAGTACAGTTCTCATGGTATTTTAATACCTTCGCAAGACATAAAGGCGCGGAGTATGGAGTCACGCAGCAACGGCGGAATGAACTTTTTTAGTTTAAACTCGTCTCCAGAGGAATACGATATCATGATAAATCAATGTTGAAAAAAATGATATTTATCAATATCTGCATTTGTCGATATTCTATATTTGTCATCAAAATTCGATGTCGTTGGTAGTTATTTTTAGGTAACTTAAGCAAAATTAATTTTTGTTTTATAAGGAAATCAAGTTAGATAACTTAAATGACCAAGAGTATACATGAACAAATACAACATCGGCTTGTTTAGTTCATTATAACATATAACAGATTTATAAAAGAACCTAGAAAAAGAAGCAATAAAAAAAGATTTGATGAATATCAATAATTAAGTCGAAAACAACGAATCGTTACATTTTGCAACGATGTTTTTTAACTTTAAAAGTTATAGTTTATTTATTTATTTTGAGCTATGCTTTTTGTTCAAAACGTCTTATATTTTAAAAGCCATATAAATTACAATAAAGTAATAAAGTTTCAAATAGTAAAACAAATAAAACTATCGGAAGGTTGAATTGATGTTAGCATATATCTCAATTAGTACGACGATAAAACACGTAGAATCAAAATTTGCTTTTAATTGCTAATACAGAGTTAGCCTTCATAGCGGGAGCTGAAATTGATTTGTTTCTTTAACTTGGGATTGTAATTTTTTTTAAATATTTTTTAAATTTTTCTAAATATTTGAAAAACTTTTAAAAACTGAAAAATAAATTGAGTTTTTTTTTTTTCTCCCAAGATTTTCTCCTATTTTTTTTTCCTAAGATTTCTCCTGATGACGACAAATAGTTTTTATATTTTTGCGTGATTTTTGTGTTAACTGCTTTTTTTTTTGTTTGCTTTTTTGCGTTTGCTTTTTTTATTTACATATATTATATACATGATTAGAATTTTTGATATCACCAAGTACAATTCAAAAAAAACTAAGTTTTGTAAAAATCTGAAAAATTTTTAAAACATCAAGCCTGCTATTAACATTTATTACAAACATTACGTCATAATCGAGGCGCAGTGGTTAATATACTGATAGAATCAAAGTGTTTGTGGTTTGGCTGAAAGCAATATTAGAGAGGAAAGTAGTGGAAAACTTTCTCATTCAATGCTACTTTGCGATGCTCTGTGATAACATTTTTAGGTCTAATCTTAGAATCACTAAATAAACCACACACACAGAAATTATATTAGGGTATATTTAATTATATATTTATATACTTTTCAGTTTATTTCGCCTTTCACTATAAATACAGTTTTCATATACATACATATACAATAAAATAAATAGCTGGAGCAGGAAGAAGACATAATGTCTTATCACCGAGCACAAATTTTGTAAAACCGTACTTTACAAATATTTTATTGTAAAGACGTAAATATATAAACTAGAAGATAATATATCGTATTGCTTTATATAAGCTTTGATACATATAAGTTTTAATTTTTAATTATATAAGTTTTAATACATAAAGTAGCAAGTAGTATTTGCTAAACTGCTTACATTTTCTACAGTTGCAGAAAAAGAAATAAATATTACACATACATATACCATTCTGAGAGAGAGGCAATATTATTAATAATTCTTTTTATATGGATTTTGATAATAGTTATTTTTTTTAATTATCTTAATTTTTATATTTAAGTTTAACTTTATTTAAAAGAAACATTTAAAATCAAGCATAGCGTAAATCATAAATAAGAAGTGCTGTTTAGATTCCTTTTTAAAAAGATCTCGAAAGGTTATCTTTTTATTAGCTATTTCTGAAAATGTTTTCCATAGATATGGTTCACGATATTCAATTTAGCATGAGCTCAATTTCAAACAATATTTCAAGAATCTTGTAGTGTATTTATGACAGATTTCACTAAAATAGAATTCAAATATTTTTGGAGACTATTCTAACTTAGTTTTATATACATAAAGACTAAAATTTGATGCAAATTGATTTTATATATATTTAATGCTTCAAGTATAAATATTAATATATATATATATATATATATATATATATATATACATATATATATATATATATATATATATATATATATATATATATATATATATATATATATATATATATATATATATATATATATATATATATATATATATATATTAGGGCTGTACCGGATTTAATTTTTTCAAATCCGGCCGAAGCCGGATTTGCCGGATTTCTACTGACAGATTTGGCCGGAATCGGAGCCGGAGCCGGATTTCAAAACAAAACTACAGGAGCCAAAATCCTGTACATCCCTACTTGGTGTTGAGCATGGTCAACAATGTGGACTAATCAGAATACCAAGTGACTGCTGTTTTCTGTTAAACTTCATTGTTGTTATTTAAAAAGTTTTATAGCAATTTCTATATATAAATTAATAGAAATTCTAAAGAAATTCTATAGGCCATATGTTTTTAAAGTTTATAGTAATTCTATTGAACTTTTTTTCCGGGATTTTGTCACTCCGCCACTGTAGTGGATCATTGTGTCTATTTATTTCTGGTTCTTTCGGATATTTCCTTAGCTGAGTTTCAATGCCTTTAAGTAATTGTTGTTTATGTGCCCTGCCACCAGCGGACGTAGACTGAATAATTTTATCAATAAATTGCCAGAGTAATGATGATGATGATGTAGAAAAATTATTAAGCCCGGCTTATTTTGGTGGATTTTCTTCAGTTTTGTCAATCTTCTGTTCAGCATGCTCAGATTGACTTCAATCTTGTTTTTTCAGCTGTCAGTGTTGCCTGTAATGAGGAGAATTTAGTTTTAAATTGTGAGTCAACCAGCCTCGTCAGTATATAAAGAGGTTTCTCTTTTCAATGCTTTTAAAACGCTCATCCAATCACTTGATTAGGGTTGACATCATAGTCTTTTTACCTGCATCATTGTAGAATATCGTGTGTCTTCCCTTCAGAATTTTTTGTTGCGTTGTTGTTTGAAATTAGACTAAGCTTATTAAATTATAAAGAAAAATAAATACAAATACCAAAACAAATATGAGGTTTATAAAATATAGAATTACAAAAAAAATTGATTTTTATAAATAAAATATTAAGTATACATGTAAACACGGGCAAAAAAAATGTAATAAATATTTGACAAAATTCAAAACTCCGGCTAAAATTATGCCGAATTTGCTAAATTTTTGCCGGACCCGGATTTGGGCCGGATTTGTAAAAATGGCCGGATTTCGGCTGGAGCAGGAGCCGGAGCCGAAATCCAGTACAGCCCTAATATATATATATATATATATATATATATATATATATATATATATATATATATATATATATATATATATATATATATATATATATATATATATATATACATATATATATATATATATATATATATATATATATATATATATATATATAATTTATATTTATATATAAGTATAAATATATTTATATTGGGTATAAAAGTATATAAAGTATATATAAGTATAAATATATATATTAGGTATAAATATGTATGAGGGTATATTTTTACTGAAATAACCAGGCTTTAAATCCGTATAGGCGCAGTAAAAGCTAATTTAAACATTGCAATTGTTTTAAGGTGGTTAGTTTTTACTTTAAAAAAGTGACTTTTCATTAAGGTACCACCAGATAAATCTCACCTCTATATAAATCTTAATTTTCATCAATATTGGGTTTTTTGGATTTTTCATCAATAATGGGTTTTTTGAATTTCTTTTTTTTTTTTTTTGATATCAGTTCAACATAGCTGTAAATGTTTTTGAAATCTATCTTAACATAACTTTAGCATAATTGTGAGTATATTTATTGCACTCATTTTTCTGATTAGTCTCACCGCGACGTGTAATGTTGCATTGGTACTAATAGCTAGTGTAAATGAAAGAAAGTAAACTCTGCAGGTAACAAAAGGAAAACACCAAAATTTAATTTACCATTATAGATATATAATATTATTAAGAAAGAGTTTGAAGAATTAAGCGATGGAAAATTTTTGAAAAAAAGCGCTAATAGTCGAACCAAGGGTGTATAAGTAGATGGACGTTTAACGGACTGTTATAGATCAAAGGCACCACCAAATACTGAATTTTTATGCAGGTTATAATTTTTAGCGTCATTTTTAGAAATAATTTTACAAAATAAACCGACATTAAACCGACATTTTTGCTTAGCTAACTTCTTTCAGTAAATGTTTATTACCTTTAAATTACCAACTTTTAGGAAATATAAATACATTTTATATATGTTAGAATGTCTCATGCTTTTGAAAATATTCTAATTGAAATGCAAGCTTTGTTTAATAATAACTTATTTGTAAAAAAAACTTTGAAGTAAAAATAATGTTTTTGTAAAAATCCAATATATGATATTCTAACATGAATATTGCAAAGTAAAAAGAGTTTTGTATTGTTGTAGGTCATATCATAGACCATTTATAGATTGAAATAGAGATTGTTAGTAATCATTGCTCCCTATATTTTGAATTTACTATTTTTTTAAAAAATTTAAACTTTACATTTTTGACGAGAATCAAATCTTTTTTTTTCTCACAACTTCTTTTTGATGATTTTTGGTATTAGAATATTTTTACAATTAGAGTTCTAGAATAATCATATAATTTTGTCATATAGTTATACAGGAATTATACAAGGTAATTGGATATATAGAATGTTTTTAACAAATTAGTAAAATATATCAATCACAATAATTTACATAATAAAGTTTTTTTATTTAATTGGAACAATTATATACTATGAATACTAGATGCCGGAATTTTTTGGTGGTTGAGATAATTTCCATACATGGAGCAAACTCCAAACATTTGTATGTTTATGTTAAATAATGAGGCTGTGCAAAAGATTGCAATGATTGGAGACTGGTAATGAAAATACCCTTTAATTTTGTCCCTTCCCCTCCCCCCACCACCCCAAACGTGATGGGCGACAAGTTAATAAAATATTATTTGTACTATTTTCAACTAGACTTATATTCATCGATAAATTTTAAAGTTTCATACTATTATCTTTCAGCGTTCAAAATTATGACCATATAAATTTAAAGCCCCCTTTTCTCCTCAAATTGAGGGGGTTACAAATTTAATATGGTTATAATTTTTATGATAATTGTCGGAATGTTAGCTATCTCAACCACCAAAAAATATTGGATTCATCACTGACTAGATGTCTAAGTTTGATCCAAAAAGTGAAGCCGTTTGTGCCCAAATTAGAAATTGCTTCCACAGCATACACGGCGATCTTTCATATATAAGTTTTTCTATAGTCCAAAAATCTTTGCTTTTGTCAAAAGTTAAGATTTTTGGTATCAATCAATCAATATTTTTACTTTTAATAATTGCATATATATAAACGCTATATTAGTGAGGAAGATTTACAAGCAGTTAACAACTGATGAAGCGTTAGGAATTGCAATGGTCCTAACGCTTCATCAGTTGTTAACTGTTATTATATAATAAAACAATTATTATAAAATAATGATAATAAAAACAATAATGACAATAGTTATACTACAAATAATAAAAGTAATGGTATTAGTTATAATGAGATAATCATAGCAGTAGTAACTACAGTATTAATAGCAATAGTGGTATAATAAATAATTGTAGTAAAAATAATAATAATGATTTTTTATGTATATGTGTATATATATATATATATATATATATATATATATATATATATATATATATATATATATATATGTATATATATATGTATAT